TTATCTAATCCTGAGTTAGGAACTGATCCTGCCGATCAAGTTTCAATTTGGCCTGATGTCTAAATGATTTCTTAGTGCGTGCGCAGTTTGGATTTCAGGTGGTTGGAAACCTTAAGCTAAGTCATATGCTAGTTGATAATCATAAGTAAAGGATTTCTGCTTCCAGTATGCTTCTATCGATAAACCGAAATCATCCACATAAACAAATATGAAAAGTTAATTAATTGTGGAATTATTTCTTTCATTTATAATCGGCTTGTAGTTAGGAATATGATAGGATGAAAACTATAGGGCGCCAAAATAAGACTGATTAGTATTTAATAATCAGTCAACGTAAATATCTCAGTCCCAACTGGAAGTTAGACACAGACCATACAATTCAATGGCGACATATTTGATCATGGAACTTAATAACATGAGTTTAAATAACACAGAGAATGTCAGTGGTATCAAGATTACATACGTACTTTATTGATGAGTACAAATGAACAAAGAAGCTAAGTCAAACAGGGCTTTATTTAGATCTCATCCCTCTATATAACACTCACCGTTGATTTGATTGATACGAAGGTTTAGATCTGTGTTGTAGCTTACTTCAAAATACTTTTTTTAGACTCTAATGGGAAGTTATAACTGGTGGAATTCAGACACTTCAGTGGTGAAAGTTATCATCAAGAACAGCGAATGAATGAGCCATAGTTTGAGTCAATCAAAGTTGGGAAAATGTACATTTGAATGCCAACCATGTAGTCTATTGGTTTTGGCGCCATAGAGAGAATTGAAGTTCTCAAATCCAATCTGTTATGGGGTCGAGAATACGTGCTATTAAGGAACCTCGTACTAAAACAAAACAACTATGCAGAGCTCTATACTTTCCGATGGTACCCCGATTGATGTCAGTTTGCGACGCAATCCACCTACATTTATCCTTACATTTATCTTTTTGTCAAACTAAATTATATTTTCTCTTGTGCTCTTCACATATCAATTTATTTTCTCGTTGTAATAACTTAGACAGATACACATTCACATCAGATCCTACTCAGACTACGACTAGTTAACTCATGACCATTGATAACCAAATTATTATTATCTCAATACATTTTAAATAATTTTAATTTTATTAAAATTGGATGAAATACTAAGTTGCATCTGTGTGTGTTTATTCAATGTTCAAGATTAATATCTGTCATTTTAAAGTATGATTATGGGTATTATCTTCCATAACACTATTTAGAAAAAATATGTCCAATTATCTAATAATAAAACAAATATTGTATACAGTTTGTGAAGTATGAAATTAATCGACAAAAGAAGCTATCACATTAGCAATATATATATTGCGGTTAAGAGTTAATTCAGTCACAATGTGAATGGTGGTTGGTCAATTTAACAAAGTTTTCTCTAAGACAGTAATTAATTAAAAGTTCAATAGATGTGAAATCAGACCTAATATTATATAATCGGTTAGTTATAAATTTGTTAAATAAGAATAAGAATTCAGTAAGTTTGAAGTGAAGCATTTGGACATAAATGTTTAGTTTAATTAATAAAAATAGGTACAAAGAAAATTAGGTATTAAAACAGATAGATCACGTTAAGTTCTCAATAAATATTGAAATGACACTAAACTCTTGTCTAGCTGTTTCACTTCAAACTTAATTCTTATTCTTATGTAACAAATTTATAACTAACCGATTATATAATCCTTATGTCTGATGTCACATCTTTTGAGCTTTTAATTGATTACTGTTTCAGAGAAAACATTGTTAAATTGGAAAACCAGCATTTGGTAATCAAGTTAAAAATTTCTACTAAGTAAAAAAAAGAAACTTTTCCATGAGATTTACATCCATTAAAACTTTTTCACTACAGGTACTTAAGAAAACACTTCCCATGGATCTGTGGTTCAATAGAGACTGTGTCATGGCTAATGGAAAGTCGAACATTTCGACCTCTGATAAAGACAGCTTATTCGGTTAAATTCCGATTAATTCTCTTCACATAGCCATTGCTTCAAATATAAAAGAGGATAAAATACAAAGTCTGCCAGCCTCCATACTTATCTCCGAGTCTATCTGATGCCTTTGAGCAAGATTAACTCACTGGACTCAGTATTTCCCGAATGAAGAGCCGAACATATACTGATATGGTTGTGCAGAGAAAAAACACCATGTGCCGCCGACACGAATCATAATCGTTTCTTGGTTTCACACTGATTCATTGTGTACTTTTGGCATTATTTACACGAAGCGACCAGGATCTATAAAGTGTGGGCGTAAAACGGCTTTAAACTGTGAAGTTCATAGTAATTCACATTTTCAACCCTGATTTGTGTATCCAATACCTTAATTTGCAAAGGGTACAATAAAGGTGAACACTGAAAATCCTATCAACTATTCACGATCCTGTAACTGTTTTGCTGCTTTTTGTTCTCTTCGCACCAGATTCTTCTCATGACAATTTGATCCACTAGTAACAATAACATTTGAATATGACTGTATATATTTGAGTACACCATTTTACCAGGTCGATATTTTTTAAAATCAGTAGAACATCCTTTTACCGTTACATGATTTGTATTTACTTTATATTGATTCTTATTAATCATCTCGTCTTTAGTCAAAATTCTGATTTCTTTAAATGGAAAGACAGTCATTGTCCTTTAATCTGACATGATGCCACTATTATAAAACTGTGTGCTATACTGAAGTAAAAATTCTTATCATCGATCTATACCGTATCCCAAAGATTCATATCTCGGATTTCAGTAAACTGCTATGAATATATTCTCCAACTATGGATTTGTAGCTTTTCAAGTGTATCCATAGAATGACCTAATGTAATTTGAATATAAACTTACTACTGTTCCATCAAACCCTTGGTCCGGAATGATACCTGTCGATTTGGTCGTCGTTAATGTGCAATCAGACTAGGTCTCAATAAATTTAAAACTTGAAAGCTACTAATGCATCTTCTTTAACTCGGCATACACTCCAACAAGTTCGAAACAGGGTTCAACCAACGGGTTTTAACAACAACCAATATACATCTAGCAGTCATGTATCAAATAAATTTTGTTCCAAGCAACAAAATCCAATATTTGGGCGGGTAGTCTAAAAACAAAGGACAGACATCTAGGTAACCAACAGGGTTTTTTCAATCGTACAAGCTATTATTGCATTTCTAACTCTCAACAAAGTTATTACTGAAACGCTATACAAAGTTTTTCCTCTTTTCAAATCCAGATTCTGAATAGATCATATTGAAGCGAATATCAACGGTGTTCATACATACAAGACTCCCAGCCCTTTTCGGCTCTGTAAAGCATTTAAATATTATCTAACGATTTGTAAGTCAAGAAACTTGTACCTGTGTGAATATTATTACAACTAACGACTAAAGTTTAAAGCTAGCCTGAATCTCAAGGAAAGCATAGTTAAGAATCTGGTTGCATTTTCATTGAGCAAAGAAAATGGTCTGTAAGTTAGATCGTAATTTTAAGAAACTCCCTACTTACAAACGTAGTTTTATTTTATCCTTTAAAACTGATATGACGGGATGAAAAAGACAAGATTAATGAGTTTTACTCATTGTTACTTCTATTCAAAATTACTTCCGTATAATTAATTCAATGTGATGTAATATTTGTTTTTAGTTTTCACTGTGATATGTTATTGGTTATAATATTAATTTAATAGAGAATGATGTCACTTTAAGATACGATATTCTTGTATTAAGTCCACATGAACTATGCTGAGCCTGATAGACATGTGATTTTGCTATTACTCTGGATATTTTTCTATTTCTGTGATTTTATTTTAATTTATAATCAAAATGAGTGTCTGATCAATATATATTGAGTGTATTTGCAATTAAGGTGGTCTTGTTTTGGGATTGATAAATCTTCACTTGTACTAGTCTTCATGTTCTTACTTCGCGTCCTGATTCATTGTATTTTTCAAGTATAAATAATAAGCGGCGCGGATATAACAAGAACTTTTTCACACAGGTGGATATGAACAGTGTTATAAAAGACTAGTGTGGAGCAATGACTTAAATATTGAATGTTTAATTCTACAAGAGAAAACCTCATTTAGGTCATAGAATATATTCTTTTTTCATCAAAACAACATTAAACTAATGAAATGAATATACTTTGGCATTTAAAAATTTTGAAACTACGCTTTTCATACTATCAAAATATGTGAATTAAAAAAACACTAATTGGAAATATACAAGCTAAACAACATGTACAATAATAATGTATACAATAAATTAGGAGAACGAGGAAAATACATAGTATCCAAGCTTATGTAATATAAATAATTCATTAAGTATGAGTCAGTCAGCTACAACGTAGGACCAGGCACATATATGCATCGTTCCAAGTTGCCTCACTCCATTAGCTCAAAAAGATGATCACCAAATTCATAGAAGTATCACATCTTTGAAAATAAAATATTATAATTTACCTGAACAAACAAGTAGTGAAGGTAATAAAATGTCCAATATCTTGTTTATCTGGATCAAATATAAAAATGCTTAGTGAGTATAGATAAGGAAATTTGTTCTTCAATGATGATAGCCAACTATAAAATTAGCTTGCAAAGCAAAAGAAAGGATGATCGTCATATACACAGCACTACATACATAGTAGAAAAATATCTGTATACGTCAACTGTAAAAGACGAAACTTAAAATGTATAATAAAAATGTAACTTTAATTCGCTTTTTAACGTCGGAGAGAATGTTGCAGAGTTAAAAAAGTATGCAAACAGAAGAAATTGAGTTGACAGAAATGTGTAAATCATATATTTTCAATAGCATATATTAAAAACACATACAGGAATTACAGGAATCAACACAGACACCTTTTTATTGGAAAACAGATCAGCTATAAATTATTCTATTTTCTTTTCTTTACAAAACAGAAGGGAAACATTTTCATAATAAATGATACACAAAAATTCAATTCAGCAAGTATGTATACACGATAATCATGTGATGACCTTTTCTGTTGTTGTATCATCATTATCACCGAATTCGTCATAAGCCTTAAATTTTTCATTTGGTACAGCAAAACTATACTTTTTCGTTAAATGATCATGAAGTACAATAGGTGGTGGTGCACAAATCTTTTGACGTATCACTTGTAAAACTGTCACAATACTGCCCATTGCTAGTATGAAATAAATGATTGATACAGCAGGTACCTTTAATAGAAAATACATTATAACCATTATACAGTAAGTTATCAGAATGATCATCGTTGGTCGAAAAGAAAATGTGTATGTAATTCACTAATTATATTTACAGCTAAACAAAAAATAATAAAATTTATTTTTAGTATAGGGTTGTTGATCCCAACTAAGTGGTCTAGAGATTAAGCGTTCACGTACGAGACCGGAGATTATGAGTTCAATTCGTGCGTGTGGAGTCGTTGATGCACACTGCTGAGGAGCTCCATGCTAGGACAAAACGGCCGCTTAGATTTTTAATGATGATTTAACATAAATCGGTTTATGATTTTAATGAAATAATACTGTTGAAATGAAACTTACATCAAAGGGAGATTATTAGTACAGTATGATAAATGTGAATAGTAATAAAACATGAAAATGTTGTTATCAAATATATATTTATAACCTATAGAAAACAAGACGGAAGTGATTACAGTCAATAAAAAACCAATATCCATAAATCTCAACTTCAAAGGTGATGACGTCACAAGCATAATCAACAGGAGGCTTACACTGCACTAGCCAGAACTTAGCCGGCAACCAAACCATTAATTCTGTATAAAACAACATGTTCAATAACCTAATCAAAGGTTGACAAGCACCCCTTTCACATTAATGCCAACTGTACTTATAAATTTACGTGTACCTACCAAAGCAGCTACATTGGCCGAACAGAAAGGAGGGTATATTTTAGTTTTTTGAGCATGTTCCAAAAAGCCTTGCAACAAGAGAAAAAACGACTCTGAACAGTGCAATTACCAAACATATCTTGGATACAGGACATCAGGTCGATACCTTTCAATTTGTCAAGGTGATTAATAAGCAGCCAAACTCAACTCTGAAATTTGCTGAAGCTGTTGCTGTCAGGCGTCAAAAACCTGATTTACGTGTTCAAAATGAGATGGTTATTAATTTTTCCTTGGATTGGCGACAAATATACCTTTGTTACATCTTAAACTTTTCTAAATTTCTTGCATTTATTACATCATTGAGTTTTTATTTCAACTATCTTCCAGATCAGTAATCTTATTTTACTAACTGAGCTTTACTCATTTTATTCCTATCGGCGTTTACTCATTACGTAATCACTTGTTTCTGGCCATTTGAACTGTTGTCACAATCAATGTTGTGGAATTTTCTTTTACATGAGGTATATATTTACAATATTCAGTCTATTAAATTTGTTTACACCCTTGCTATGCTAATATGTTTTCAACATAACTTCCGACTAAACTCTCTCATGTAATTAATTTAAACCCATTTTGTAATTATGATTTTTAAATATTAGAGGCTGTAAGCGGCTGACGAAAACCAACAAAATAAAATGGATTCATACTATTCCGCTAGAATTATTGTTATTATTATTAAGTCCCAAGATCGACATCGTGCGGAAAGAAACATCAGACGATATATGTTAAATCCTTATGATCCGTTCTAAAATGAACCAGTGATTCATCCGAAAAAACCAACTGGGTGTAAATCGAAGATGTTGTGAAACTAAATGGCTGAGGTGAAATCTATAAACATCACTATTTAAATACAAGATTAATTAGCATAACATAATAAAAGACAACTGTAAAAAACCACTTAAGATGAAAAAGGTATTTTAAAAAACAAAATAACTGTGCTCAATTTGCGAAATGAGTTGAGTCGGTTCATTTGTACTCTTTTAGGTTACAGATTGAATTTTTTGATAACTGACAGTAATGTAGGTAAAATACGATTCACAACAAAACTCACCACTAAAGAGATTGTTTGTCGTTAAGTATTAAAATGATCCTCTAGTTATTTGGTATGCACAAGTAAATAAAAGTTGGAGAATAGATTAGTGAGTCAAACAAATCTACTTAAGCATTGCTGGAATGTTTTATGACTAGTAAGTAAAAAATATTGAATTTAGGTGTAGAGTCTTAAGTGGAATGAAGAGAGTGGTTTGCTGATGTGAATATCAACCAGCTGAAGTGCTTAGAATGTCAATCATTTCTAATAAGAAATTGACTATTTTACTTTGGTTTTCAAAATTAACTGTAGAGAAAGAGCTTTGAGCGGCCAGCTAAATAGACTGAGATGATCCATGAAGTAGATGGCTGTTCGAACCACTGATGTTGACATTGTCTGCCAAGTGAAAAATCGGATTAGAAACTATTAGAGAGACCAAGAAAATCTCCATATATATCCGCTAACAGTAGGCTGGTACAAACTATTTCTATCGTACTAAAGTTTATCCAACATTCTAATCGTATTACTGAAGCTTTCGGAAAACCTGGTAGGTCGCTAAGCATTATAGTATTTTTCAGAAGTCTACTTGCTGAAACGTTGGACAGTTACGAAGGTAAAGATGTTTGGTGAAAAAAGCTTACTATGCCACTTCCTACATAAAAATCTGACGCTGATGGATAAAGACAGAAACATTCAACAAAAGACAATAAAGACCACACAGGTTTTGTCAATTATTTGAATAAAACATAGCTTTGAAAAGGAATATTGTGAAACAAATAGAACACCTACAATTGAATGTATAGTGCAAATCTAGTTAGACCACAATCTGTGATTGATTGAAGCTGCTTTCTGTTATTCGTGGATCTTAAAAAGCATAAATACGCTTAATTAATAACAAGCATGGAACTTTAACAAATATTAATATTAACTTTGTGTTACTTAGTTTTATTTCGTTCCTTTTAACCCCCAATAAAATGGATTCGGTCACTAAATGCTGATAAAATGTAATCACATTTGCCACTTGGCCTGTATGTATTTATAAGATATCAGTTTTATATTAAGTCATTTTGCAAACATTTAAATAATATCTGACCTGCCATTCGTGACAATAGCTCTGTTGGGATATGACGTAAAGATTATAAGCCATGTATAGTTCAAAACCGTATACTACAAATAGGAAAGGTAGGACGAACGTAATTCGACGAAACATCCATGACATGAAACCATCTGTGAAAAGAAATTATCCAGTGGAATGAATTAGCATATTACTTAAGAAGTATATCAAACATGACTTAATAATTTTAACTACAATTGATTTCGGTTGCCCCACTCTGAAATACCTTAGAATACAAAAATCAAAAACAGGGAAAGACAACATACAAAAATGGGACAGAAAATAACGTTAACAATGAACAGTTTACCAATGAAGACTCAAAATCATATTAATGTCTTGAACCTCAGTGTGTTAATAAATGGCATAAAACCTCATTGATGTCTTTCAACACCATCTGTTGTATCCCGATAGGAATAATGAATAGTAATTTTTGGGATCCATTTATGGACCAATATTATGAGTATGTTTTTATCGTATAATTGTTATGTAACTAAACTGTTCATATTCATACCCCTCTTATTATGAGCTTTATTTTGACCTATGAACTATTATTATACGATTTACCATTCATGAACTATTCCCTGTCTGTTAATCGCTACCTCCGTCATTCACAGCCACATCTGGCTAATTCCTGTAAAATGTTGTTCATATTTTATTGGTACGTTGTGGTCGGTGTTTGGTATATAAACTCAGTATTTATTTATTTATTCATTTGAACACATAAATATTGGTACAAGAGAGCGCCAATATATATGCGCCACACAAAACAATGAGAATTCGAAGAGAAAAAAAAGGTGAGGAGTGTAAAAAAAAGAGAACAATAACGAAGAGATTGGTGTAAGGTAGTGTAGTAGTAATGAGGGAACGGAAAGGTACAATCAGAAGAAATCTTTCAGTTAAGGGAGACACAACCACTTTTTATGAAGAAAGTAAAAGAAGGTTACAGCAAGATCGCCACTGGCTTCTATTCTGAGCCATATCTGATAACGTCTCTAGCCACTGTGTAGCACCATCTCTCAGACCCCAACCAGGGAGTCGTGAAGGACCGACACAAGCCAGTCCTTTGCAGCTTTCTTTCATACCACGACACCATGTCATATACTGACCACCTATCCGCTTCTTCCAACCAGTCCCAGAGTCGGCAAATAATACACGACGTGGAATTCTCTGGGACGACATTCGGAGAACATGTTCAAGCCACCGAAGTCGGTGTTTCAAGATGGTGACACCAATTACATTATCGTCTCTGTGCCCGAACACACGATGACGAACCTCTGCATTACTGACATGGTGTTGCCACTGGATGTCAGCAATCCTTCGGAGACAGCAATGATCGAACACAGAGAGTCGTCTAACGTCTTCAACTCGGAGAGGCCAGGTTTCACAAGCATAGAACAAAACTGCCCTCACCAACGCGTTGTAGATTCGACCTTTTACAGCCAGACTAACATCACGAAGGCGCCAAAGGTGGCCCAGATTGGCATAAGCCGCTCTGGCTTTCACTATACGTGCATTGATCTCATCACTCACACCCCCCACCAGCACTTATGCAGCTACCCAGATACACGAACTTCTCGACTACTTCTATCTGCTCACCATCCAGGGTGAGTACAGGATTAGGATCCTGCCAGTCTTGTAGAAGTACTTTGCACTTCGAAGGTGCAAAGTACATACCATACCTAAGGACACTGATTGCCAACTGATTAAGTGCGGATTGCATGCCTTGGGCATTATCGCACAGCAAGACAATATCATCCGCATACTCAAGGTCGAGAAGTCTTTCTCCAAAAACAGATCCACACCACCATTACTTACATCCATCAGAGCTGTTTCCGGAATGTCATCGATGGCAAAGTTGAAGAGGAATGGTGAGATTGGGCAACCCTGCCTAACCCCACTGCTCGAATGGAACAATGAAGAGAGGTGGTTGTATGCCTTCACTCTGCCTGAGGTGTTTTTATATAGGGCTTTTAGGATGTTAATAAACTTCTCAGGCACACCCTTCTTCAATAGACAATCCCAGAGAACAGTCCTGTCCAACGAATCGAAGGCAGCCCTGATGTCGAGAAACATTACGACTGTTGGCCTTTGATAAGTATGACGGTGTTCTAACATTTGGCGGAGGGTGATATGATCAATACATCCTCGACCAGAACGAAACCCAGCCTGCTCCTCGCGAGTCAATCTTTCTCGGGTTTTGAACAACCTACGAAGTATGACGGAAGCCAATAGCTTGGACGCAATCGGAAGTAGACTTATCCCCCAATAGTTGTTACAGGAACGACGTGAACCCTTTTTAAAGACAGGGACAACTATCGATTCATTCCATGACGTCGGTACACTCTCTAGCTCCCAAACCTTTGTAAACAACGTCGTCAATTCCTTAGTCAGAAAGTCACCGCCGTCTTTAAAAAGAGCCGGGGGTAAGTCATCTGGGCATCTGGAAACTACTTTACTTGCTTCAAATATAAACTCAGTATGCTTAAAATATAATGAGACTTGCGTTCTGGACTCAACTGGCTGGGCTAGACAGGGAAGCAGAACCAATCAGGACTCTAGGTTGTTCTCATGTGTTTAAGCGTCTTTGGTCCGATCGATAATTTGCTGCGCTCTAATCTGCTGTCACAAGTTATAACACCATCTGACATTGGTTCAAAGTAAAATTACCTGATAGAATTGATTCTACGTCAAAACGTACTATCATTAAGTAAAAATTACAAAACTTTGATTACAGATATTGAACAGTGCCGTCTCAGAAAATTTCTCCTCAGTTGAGTAGGCCAGTATCGAAAGATCGAGATGGGAAACTTTATGTTAACAAATCTCAACCGATTTAACCCGATGAAAGCACATCGTAAATCTTATCAATTCACTGATTTAATCCATAAGGAACAAAACTTACAATCACACTAAATAACCAGACACTTTGTATTACATGACTGATTTAAGTATAATAATGTATCATAGAACATAGTTCACACAATCAACATTGAACACAGACCACAAACTCAGTCAAATAGATAATCTCAATATACAACCACGTCCTACTGTACACCCACATATATGACGATACAATATAAATACTTTCACAGAAGTCAATAAAATACTTCAAAATAAATAATAAAGTCCATTAATTTACCAACAGTTATATCCATTGGATGTCGACAACCCAAAGTACGAAGTTTATACAGGCAACTTATTTGATATTGAAATTGTATAAAATGAACAAGATCTGTAAAAGAAAAAAAACATTATCAGCAAAAATTATTGCAGGAGATACAGGAATCTGGGAGACAAACCACAAAAAGTGCACAGTTCTTTCCAGTTGCTCAACATTTCTCAATAGAACATAGACTGTTAGAGAAGTAAGCAGAAGAAAGATATTAAAAAGCAACAGGGAAGAAAGGGGATAAATAAACAAATACGTGCTAAGGAACTGTTCGAAATTGAAAAAGAAAAATTAAACAGTAATATGCAGTGTGATTCCACGAACCAATTTTCGATTGTTAAAATAAAAAAACGTCGACTAATGCATAATATCCAATGAATGACACAATATGGCCAAGTGATAGTTGTTCATGAGACCGAATTGTTAACGTAAGGCCTCGAACGATTTGATATTACAAACAAGACCAGTCAGAAGGATAGGAATTTTTTAACAAAATAATATGGTTCATTATAAATTATTAGCCGAAAAATAAATATAGTTAAATGTCCTAAACGATTAGAGGAAATTAGTTTTGCAGGTTACTCACTCTCCAATGAACTAAGACTTGTCAATTAAGCCCAATTCTTGCCCATTATATCAAACATAAACAAATAGTGCAAGGCCTATATTATTCAAAAGAATGTTAATTACATCCACGATATACGGTACAATCTATTTTGGTTATATTACAGATGATTAATGTACAGATATCTTCACTAAACACGGACTTATGACCGAAAAATTGTGATCACTATACAAACAACATCTCTTACGACGATGGTTTCTAATTCTGAATATATACATAATAAAGTGAAATCGCTTCTTAGAATATTAACAATTTCCTATTTATTTCTAATAACTATCAAATCCATACCCCGCTTTATACATGAATGACCCAATACAAACAAGAAAATATCATTTAAAGTGAACCTATTTGTTTTTTTTGTTCATCTGAAAATAGGAACTTTCAGTATTATTATCGATGATTTAATGGTTTAAAAAAATTTGGGCATTGGGAGAGTGGTATTATCACTAGAAATTTGTATTATCCAATTGATGAAAAAACAAAGCAAAATTGTGTTCTTAACAACGTTTTGCTAATTAGTATAATGAATAGTACTCTGATAAAGTTATTAGCATTAAATAACGAAACACATGAGTAAAAACAATTCTGTTTTGCCTTTCCGCTGACTATAAAATATAAATTCTTAAGAATTATCAATGATTAACTAATTTTCAAAACAGAAATGCGAATAAGAACACCACGCACTTAATGACAACGAAGCTGTGTGAACACCATTATCTCCTTCGGTACAACTTACTGATTAACAATCTAAGTCAGTATCTCAATCTATAAAGTACACTGACCGGACAGCAATAAAGAACACCAAACTGTTTTAATTAAAATTGGTAGATTGTAGTCTGAACGGCAGTCGGGAAAATAAATACATCAAAAATACAATTGTAACTTGAGTATACCTTTTCTATGAGGTTAGGACGTCTGATTTCATTTCAATCGGATCAGTAAGATGAAAATATATGTAAAATGATAAAGATTTTATTCGCTAATACTAACGCAATGTAGTGCATCAAAATAGGATCACAACTTTAAAAATACTTTAGCGAATCAGATACTAACGTGGACATGATCGCTACATATAGAAAACACACACGTCAACCATTTAAACTATCCACATGATGTATGATATCACGAGGGAATGGCCAAAAAATGTAATAGTCCTTCCTATGCTTAGTTGGTCATATGGTCAAGAAAATTTCAATAAAGGCGTTATTTACAAAGACTTCTTGCTGAAGAACGACGATAACGACAAAAACAGAAACACTCACTCAACAGTCAGTCATCAATATAGAGTCTAACACAGATGTGCGTTTGGTCAAGTTCCCATGCTGAATTAGCACGACAAGATGAAACTAACAAGATGACTGGCAAGAGATTTGAGGAATGTGGTGTCAATGGCAATGAGAAAGACAAGAGATTGAGAATAGGGTTCAAAAAGACGAAATGGGAAAGCATATATGAAGAAATAATTGAATATAAGATCTAGAGGAAGATAAGGAGTGGATCAGTCCGAGCGAATGTAAATGATTCTGAGCCGTGTGACTTACAGTCACCAATCACTGATTGTGAATGTCTTGCAGGCGCCGATCAAGTAGTCTGCACCAACTGACACGGCTTAGACCAACGGTCAATGACTTCACGGACTGACGACACTTTTTGGTTTGACTGCCACTAGCTTTCGTTCAACTTACTCTTACTCCTAAACTAACAACCATCGATAGTCGATGTAGGCAGCGGTTAGGCACACGTAACATATATTTTGACCACCACAGTAGCTGAAGGTTTACAACCTCATGAATTGATTTCCCACTTTTGTCAAGTGCCCTACACCTAACACCTCAGCATTCCTCACTCAGTCGTTCCACAAAACGTTAGCAATGTTTCGAAGACACCTATAGTCAAAAAACTGCTTCGGAAAATATATCTTCTACTCTTAGAGACCATGACGGAGACAATAACATGATATAGTCCGGACTGCTGAACATTATATACGCCAATTGGCTACCAGATGGATATCTCGCCAACACCGAATATTCGACCTTCAGCAGATTCTGGAACATAGACATACTTTTCGACGTCAGACCATAATTATATTCTTTGACCTTGAGGCAGCGTTACACTGTTGATCGTGAGGTTCTGTGGCAGTGTCTGTCATTAAAAGGCATACCAGAGAAGTACATTAACCTTGTGTAGGCTGTCTACTGGAACACTACTAGTTGAGTCAGAGCTTATTATGATGAACGGTCATCGGAATTGGTTATTTTAAGTGGTATACGTCAAGGTTTTCCGCTTTACCCATTTTTATTTAACTCTGTCATAGACAACATTTTCATCATCCGATTTTCCTGAGGTTGGTCTTATGCTAGTAAATTCACTTGTAGACTTAGAGTACACAAATAATATAGTTTTGTTTGGTTAAAACACTAACGAAATACAGTCCCATGACCACATTAAGATATGATTTTCGCACCCCAAAAGCGAAATTTTGCTCTGGGACTGGCTTGCGTTAGCGCCTGAATTAATAACAGGAGGCAAAGTAGTCGAGCGTATCGACCGCCTCACTGATCTTGAGTCTCATCAGTACTTATGGCCTGGTGTCTGACAAAATCTCGGTACACATACCAAAAGCACGATTGGCTCTTTCCAATTTGCATCACCTGTGGCGTAGGCGAAATATCCATCTCCCAACTAAAGGACGAATTCACTGTACAACATTTTACTCTGTTCTATTTTGTGAGTGCGAAATATCACGAATAGATAACATTCGTAGATTACTAGTACTCAACCATAGGTGTCCTCAAAGCATTGTCCATGTACTTTTGGACCACCAAGTAACCAACGTTTGGGTCAGGAATAGGATACTAGGTAAAGATGGGGAGTCAATTGGGGTTATAAATATTTATCAACTGAGGTGGTTAGGACAGATGTTACGTGTGCCCAACCGCCAACTATCTCGACGAATGATTTTGTCTGGTGTACGAGCAAGCTGGAAGAAAGCTAGGGGTGGTCAAACAGAAACGTGGCATCAGTTCATAGTCATTAACAACTAGACTGACTCGTGTTAATGGGTTTAGACTACTCTTTTGGGGTCCGAGTGATCATCTTAACCAGTGGTTAGACTTTGAATGAAATGGCTTAAAACTGTTTGTAGTGGCACAGGCATATCTATTTTTTGTCTTCCCTCATATCCTAAGCTTTTCAATTCCTCGTAATCTTTTTGTCGCACTAATTTATATTTTATTCTCTAATAGTATTTTCGATGCCCAATCTTTTTAATCACTACTCATATTGTTAGTACCTTTACTATTCTGGGATTTGGTCTAACAACACCTCGCTCTGCTAATGGGGTGTGGAAACTTGAACTGACGTACATACGCACCAGATTCTACATTGCGACCGACTGACCAACACAAATAAAACTGACACAGGTTAGTCTTGAAACAACACCGTATTTGTTGAGTGAAAAATACACCCTAAACACTTATATACTGTTACTTGTTCACAAAACCGTACTTTCCAACCATTTCACTTAACAGGACTATATTCTCTGAGTATTCTGGATCCGTCTGAAAACAGCCTAGAAAGACAAGCGAGCAAAGAATTATATCCAGATGAATATCATCAGATTAAATCTCAAATTATTGAAATCATTACTTACTTAGGTATAAGCAAAAAAGCATGAACTGATCACGAAATTCATCATACGAACGAGATCTAGGCCTAGAATGTAATTAAAAGGATATGAAGATACGAGGATATAACTTAATTATAGATTGCAATTAGCCACACATTAACAACCAGTGAATCTGATAAATAACCAAATGATCTAAATGTAAGGTATCTATCCCCTCCTGGATTAAGGATTAGATATTTGCTTGAAATATAATACAATTATCAGCGTTAACTAAAAATATATCTTTTAATTAACCAATATTATATTTTCTACCTTGAATAAAATTTAGTCCAACAGTTTACTAATCGACTTCTAATACGTAAGTATTCAATATCTAGCTACTAAGTTAAGCACTCTTATCTATTAACATCAGACATGATCAAATAAACAGAATAATCCATATAATTACACCAAACTACGATGACATAGAGCTTGAATACATACAAAACATAGCCTTTCAAAGTAGATGAGAGAGAAATATTTTTATTAAGCGATCAATCGATAGTTTACAACTAACTCGAATACCACTCACCAGATAAGCATAATACCAGAATAGGCTGTTGACATAAAATGAGATATATTCCACCACCCTTTAATGCGTGACCCATTGGCAATAAGAATGCGTTCGCGAATAGTTAGTGTGCAATAGTACCATACCAATAGAAAATGAAAAATAGTATCCACAATTCTAAAAACAAATGACAAATTGACAGCAAGATAATTAATTGCACATATGATTAACTCATTTACCAAATACTCTGGTACACATGTCCACCAAGTTTTAACGTTGGCTATGAATAATTGTCAACGAAGTCATTACTTTCAACTGAACTGAGTATAGGATCATACATTATTCAGAAACATAAACCCTTGTACAGTAGAGAGATATTGCAGTATGTCAAATTTAACAGATGAAAAGAAGTGAAAAATACCAAACTATACAGAAAACCGTATTATGATATGGGAATTATGGATAACTTTAAATGCTCTCCACAACATACTAGGAAAACTCATACCTCAAGTGATTAGGGATGCATAAGTTACGCTAAAAAGTTAGCTTCTCTTCCTTTTTTAACGTTCAACATTTTAAGCAGATTCCCCTATCAATTAAGATTTAAATTTACATTCAATGTAGATTTAATATCCATTCTACCTTATTGTGTTTTGAAGCCTCATATTGCTTATAGTCCTCATGTAGTGTGGTTGGAAGTCAGGCACATTAATGGATACACTGTAGTTGGTTTTAAGGCTACCTGAACATCAACACTTAGACAGGTAAAAAGCGAACTCGGTCTCCAAGACAGCAGGAAGTTTCCAGTCTTCTAAAATCATCTACTTACGACACCCAGGTCACATACCTGCACAATAACACAATAGAGAATGCTGTACAGCATTTATCAGAATGTTGCTAGGTTTTATGAGAAGTAAAATTAAAAAGTGAAGGTCGACATCATTGTCCAAAACTACTGGTTGTCATCAGCTTAAATGACTCGCCATGATCCAGTCACGACGACGCAAGTTCAAAAATATTTTACTACATAGTTATCCTTAAATCCTACCTATATCAGTGGTTCCAAAATCTTTGTATCAGCAGAGTTTAATGACAAATTAAGGTCATAGTGGAGTATACAACCAAGTAGTACTTGTGAGTTCTAACTAGGAAGATTAGCACTTACTGCCATCAGAACCTGTTGAAACCCTTTTTCTTAAAATTCGACAGGTCCCTATAAGCTAATAAGTCTCGGAAGTATTTGCTGAACCAGGATCTAGGCAACGGGACGAACAAAGACCTTAATTAGCGACTTTCGTGATAGGTAGTCAGATTTCGGCACTCAATGTTGTAAAGATTTATGCAGAAAAGTTTTAAGATTTGAACCTATTGAACAGCTTGTACATAAACGCTTCTGACCTTGGAAATGTTCGGTAAAGTAAGTGTTGAGACAATAACTATGTCCGATTATTTTTTGCCATTACTTGAACAACTATTGCATGTAGTCCGATCATAACTTTGGAGTAAACAAGATATCGTCATCCACTCAGTGACAGAACTAAACATTACAAAGGAGATTAAACTTAATTCTATCAGAAGGACCGTAATGAACCATGCTTCCTCAATTATAAATTCCTTGTAGTGGAGATATTTAAGGTGATGTTATGAAGTCAATTCTTAAGGTTGGGTATTTACTATTGATGCATCCTAATGTGACCCAGTCTATTCAGTCAGTGATTTTACATAAGAATCCCATAGACGCTGTCATCAGAATAATTGATGTCTAACGAAAGAGGATCTTGATACACCATATAAGCATCTGAAAATGTCCGCTGAAGAATTAACGGGGTGATATTTTCCTATGAATAACTGAGAGGTTATTTTAACAAAAGTATTTCAAACCACGCCTTTCGAACATCAACTGGAGGCTTTCGCAATTAGATTACATACTAGGGCGTGAGAGTGACGATGTGCTTAACACTTCTTCAGGTCGCAAAGTGGTCACACAGTATTATTATCAAAGTTTAATACTTTTAACAGCGTACAGCCAGAATTACCTTTTTCCAAACACTTGATGCGGAAAAGTCATGATTATTTGACAATAGTGAAATACATATACTATCTTTAATAACATAACGACGAACTCACCTATTCTGAACGTAAAAGTATAGCAGAAACGCCAAAAATGCACATATTCCCGAAATAATGATTTTGAACCGTTCGTAATCATTCTTGTATCTGAATCTGAGCACATTACTAAAACCTAGTTATTACTTGTCCTCCTTGTTAGCAAACGATATATTAAGAGCTCCAAGTACGATACGCAAATACAAACTATCTAAATAAATCCGCACAGAGTATACATACCCTGGTGTTCGAGGTAAAACATCTTCAATATCCCGTAAAACATACTCTTTCTTAAGAATATCGATTTTGGCTTTTTCAAGTATGGTAATCTCATCACCCGTAGCATTCTTTTGAAGACTGCCAATTTTAGATAAAGACAGATTACCTTGCAATTTCATGCTTCAAAAGTTTCATATACTTTCGACAATGTTTAACACTACGGACGCAACTTGTCTCTTCCTCCTTGAGTTTGTACAGTGACATAACCAGTGATGAGTGCTTTTCCTAAAAAAATTGCCAGAATGTGGTTTATAACGCAGTTGTAAATATACTTGCAACTGTAACCAGTCCTTTTGAAAGCTATTTAATGCACCCTGAAATTCTTCCATCAGTCTATCGCCTGTGTAGACGCGAACAGATCTGTCGGCTTCAAGAAACACAACCTGTGGTTCCAAATTGCCCTCCCTGAAATCAAGGAGAAATATCCGTCCCAACTCGTGATTGGTTGATTTAGGTACGTTTAAGTGTGAATTGAAGGTTTCAAATAGTTCTGGACGGAATAGAAGAAGCTTTCACTTAATAGGCCTCCATATCTAGTAGTAGTGGACCATCAATTCTGCCAGGCAGAAACCTAGATATATTTAACAATAAAGTAAAAAAAAATTATAGCGAGATACTGTCATTAGTCCTTAAGAATATGTCAAGTTCGCTCTTAAAGGATTCTTGCGAAGTTTCTTGGACTGGTTCAGTCGGTAGATGATTCTAGAATTTTGCCACTCTTAAGGATTAGGTGTGTCTGCAGTCCTTTATGCTATGTTATTCCTCGTTTATGGTTGTTACCCCTAAGGTTTGCGTTGGGACTGTGCATTAGTAGGTATTCGAAAGTGCCCAGGAATGTTTAGGGTGCTGTAAGTCGTCAGAAGGTCACCTCTAACAGGTAAAGGCTCAGTGATTTGAGGTGCTCTTCAAAAGGCTTGAATTTGGGTCCCCTGCTTGATTTCATAGCTCGTCATTGGATATGTTCCAATGTATCCTTATCCTTTTGGAGTGAGAAGAAAAAACTGTGTTTCCATACTCTAAATGAGGACGAATGAAACTGTTGAAGATTAGGCGGAAATTTCTGTTCCTCAAAGATACCAGTGCAAGATTTACTCGGAGGCCTTTCTTTGTCGCAATTAGCGTGCGACTTCAGATCATAGGATACCGGAGCTCGCAGATCATTTTCAAACTGGGTACCTCTAGAGGGGAGATGCCTAAGTTGTATTCATAGTCTGCAACATGTCTCGGATGAACTAGTTTACACTTTGGGGTGTTGTTGTTCGCCCGACTTCGAAGTCAAGTTCGATCATCCTGAAGTGCCAGTTTATCATCCTGGTGCCAAACTTCTCTCTAGAGTTCCACATTATCAGTGAAAAACAATCAATCAAACAATACCTGCTGACGAAAATCGTTTTCATAAACTGGGAAAAAACAGGTCCTAGTGAGTAATCTTGAGGGACCACACTAGGAAATTCTATAGCTCGAGAAAAATTACAGTTTATGCCCACCGTAAGAAGTCAGTTATTTAGATATGAAGTAGGCCAATCAATTAACGGTGACTTGATACCCAATCGGTTGACCTTATCAACAATAAACAAATGACTGACACTCTCAAAGGCTTCGGAGAAGTCAAGGTGTGTGACACGAACCTTCCCCTTGAGATCAAGGACAGTTTCCCATTCCTCTACCGCGGTCAGCAGGTCGATTATTAAAGAACAACCCTTCCCGAAATCGTGCTATCGCAATGAAAATAAGTTTATAGATGACAAATAGTCACGTAGACTGTCGTATACAAGGACTACACACTTTCCTAGGGCACTGAAAGAAGTGCTGCCGGTCGGCAGCTTGAAGGTTCTCTAAGTCGATCCCCTTTGAAAACTGCGATGATGTGAGCCAGCATCAAAATTTCTGGTACCGTGCCTTGGTGCCTTGGAAACAGTTAACATAAAATTATTTTGTGACTAGTTTTTGTTGTTAATAACATGTTTTTTCTTAAGTTCGCTTAATTTGTACACTTATCACCATTGACTGTAAAATCGTTTAAAAATTTGACCTTGGTCTTCTGTTCCTATTTTGAATTCTCATGGCGTGACATCGATTATCGCCCATAAATACGCTGCTGAACACATGTACTTCTCTTTCTCATTTACCAGATGTCACAATAAAAGAACTCTAATATATCTGCTGTTTGCCAGTCGCACTGATATTCTCATTACGTGATTACTCTTGATTCACATTTTGAACCATACCAATCATATTTGGAATCAATAACAATTTATGATTGTGGATTACGAGACCAAAAAATTAACTCTAACAAGCTTCCTTCAGACAATTTATTTAACGTCCAGTATCTTTCTTTGTATATAATTTATATTTAGATATATTACCAGGCGAACCATTTTTTGTAAAAAACTTTACCATTACTTTGAAATTGATATATTCCCTCCATCACAATTATTTGGTGATCCGTAAAGTTAATTTTGTTCGTCATAATGATTGTTGTAATAATAATAATAATAATAATTTATTCTCAAATAACAGTTTGTTACATGAGGCATGCCAGTTTACAGGCAAGATCAAATTGATATAAATGATACAATGTGTTAAACTACATAGCTGGGTTGATAATTTATAAGACATGAATGTAGATTGTTTTAACCAGTACTACAGTTGGCGCGCTTCGCGACAGTTGCGTTGCGAATGTTCGACTGATGGTCAAGGATAGGTCCATTGAAGGTATGAGCTTCTAGAAATCGCAACCTTATGTCCCTTTGGGATATCCAAGGCTTTAAGGATAGTGCATGATGAAGTAACCCGTTCCATATCTCAAGGGGGCTGAAAGAGGGAGCAAGTAAAAGAAAACACGAGAGGCAGAGTAGACAACATTCATGAAGGAATGTTTAAGGTATGATTACTCAGTCTAATTTTCTTTTATTAAGGTATTTGTTAAGAAAGAGTATTTTAATAGGTTAAAGAAAATAAGCTTTAGCAAGGTGTGAGTGGACATATGTTGTATATACAACTGACAAATGGAGGCGATTCGGAAAAGAGCGGAGAGTATAAGATTATGTGTGATTATAAAATGAAATATAGTGCTAGAGACAGTATTGTGATATACAACTGGCTATCTTCCTTTTATTATCGAAGCTATTAGAGCCCCTTTCGTTTTTTTTATTTGTTTTTTTCAGGTTTTATAGGGTCTTGCGTAGGCTTCGTATATTAGCGAATTGTCTAGTTTGCTTGTAATAGGATTTCTGAGTAGGAAGTGAAACCAATTCAACGTTCGTAACACGATTTAAAGAGGTATTTTGCATGATAAATCAACTTCAATACCATAAGTCCGTGACATCCCACTAAACCATAAGGAGCCGTAATTAAACAAAATGTTCTGCCCTACAGACATGGGTGGATTGAAGTTATCTCCCCACCTTCATGTTTGCTGGTCAGTAACGCCACCCTCCCTCCTTTTGTGATGTTAGGCTCTCTTACGTTTGTGGTAAGTATGATTAATGCTTTAATCAAAGCACATAGTTGGAATACACTGTCTCTTCTAGGTCCATGTTACAAGCAAATCAGATATTTAAAAATTCTGTTTTATGGGTTAGATGTCCATATAGTATATCACACTGCTATGAAAATAACTAATGGTTTAAAGAAGTAAGGACTAATAGTAAATCAAAAGATATGAGAGGGTAGAAAATTGTAGAAAAGAAAAGATTTTAGGGTGAGAAAAATAAAACATTGAGAAACTCACAAGGCTTTGTGGCTAAATTTTGAGCTTTGAATGATCGACATTAGTAGATCAGCATCCATAAGATTGAGCTATCTGTCTACTTGCAGTAGAAAAAAAAGGCATGACTTTTAGGAAGAATAATGTACATTTAACCTGCAGAGATTTGGGGACTGAAAGCTAGGGTTAGGAGCATGAAGTCATGATTAATAAACAATGAATAATAGGAAAGGATAAGCCAGATATTCTGTGATTTGGTTATATTCAGATTAGTAACAGTCGAACTTGTTATAATTTTGTTCTTTCTAGATACTAGGTGGTCCGTAATAAAGTGCCTCATTGGTGGGCGGGAGTTCAAGGAAATGTTGAAGCTCTTTGGAGTCTAGAAATAGGGTTATTAGCTTTTTGAATCTGATAAACGTATCACAGTTACGGATAGGCATTGGCAACCTGTTCCACAATAAACTGTACCGTACTGTAAAGAACTTACAACGCATTTGTTTTCGGTGTTTTACGGTAAGTAGTGTTTATGCGTTGTTTCTAAGTCTATAGGCTGGGTCGTGGGTCATAGTCGGGCAGGAGGTTAGAAAGGAGAGCCCATATATCGCTTTGTAGAGAAATATTAAATTGTTCTTTGGCCTACGGTGCCATAAAGGTTCTAAAGATAGATGCTTACATCTGTCTGTGTAATCGAGATTCGAGTTACATCCTAGTAGTTGATGTGTGAAACGTCTTTGAACATCTTCTACTCTTATCTTGTCTGCAATATTCATATTAGAGAAGACAAAAGAGCAGTATTCAAGGGTGGGTCGTACACATATTTTGTAGAGAGTAAGTTTACCTTCTGTTGTGAAAAAGTTTTTCATTATAAAACCAATTAGCCGTCTAGATTTAGAAATAATAGAGGAGGCATGTTCTGCAAAGTTTAGGCTTCCCGTGTAATTAATTCCTAAATCTTGTACTGATTCGAATGTTTGAACTATAAATTCATTTAAGTGAAGTCGCGGTTTATAGGGATGCTTTCCAAAGTGCATGATCCCGCACTTGTTGAGGTTAAATGGTAATTGCCATTTTTCACTCCAGATAGTTAAGTTATTGAGGTCCTTTTGGATCTGGGATACACTTTCGCTTAGTGTCTCAGGCTTATAGCTGTATACTATTTTGAGATCATCAGCATATAAGTACGGTTTCCCAAATTCTATGGTGTTACATATATCGTTTATATACATAAGAAACAAAAGTGGACCTAATACGCTTCCCTGGATGACTCCACTGGTGATTGGTCTAGGGGACGAGAGACAGTCATTGTACTTTACCATCTGTTTACGTTCTGTTAAGAACGAAGCAAACCATGAGTACAGTGGGTTGTGTATTCCGAAGGACTTTAGTTTGACGAGTAGCCTTTTGTGTGGGACCTTATCAAAGGCTTTCTTAAAGTCTAAGAATAGGACTGATACAAGGAGTCCGCTGTATAATGTATGTTTCTAATAATCTTGATAAAATTTAGCGTTCTCCTGCTAAAGTCTCTTCTGAACTACTATACATATCTGAACTCACAATAACCATGCTTAATGCAATTTGGCAGTTCACACTATCAGAATACGGGGTAAATAACCTAAA